AAAATCGACTAATAAGTCTCAATGCTGAACATGAATTTCCACCGAGGTCATGTGATATTACGCCGTGTGATTTCTTTTTGTGGCCTTACCTTAAAAACACTATTTTTGAACTGCCTATTCCTGATTTAAACCATCTGCAGGCTCGACTTATAGACAAGATTCGTGAAATTAACAATACCCCGAGCATCTTAGAAAATGTCTTTAATTCTTTGAGGAACAGGTGTGAAAAGTGCTTGGAACAAGGAGGGGGACACTTTCAGCAGCTGCTTTAATTTATTGTTATAACAAGGGGGGAGGAGGTTTGTTATTGTCATCACGATTATTCTTTAAAGTAAAGTTATATAGTCATTAACGTTATTGAAACTGCCAACTGCTATACAGCTCGTTGAGAAATGAGGTTAAGTTGGTCGCTATAAGCTACTCCCTACGTCCAATGTGTCAGAGCCAACTTCGACCACGTTTTTTATTTGAACCCTCGTTATATACGCACGCGCCTGAGCTCAAGCGACGCTGTTCCTAAGTTTAATATTGAGTACGCTATTTTGCATTTTGTTTGATGATTATTATTATTAATACTCTTACCCTAATCTCTAAAGTTTACGTTTACTAGATTTATTTTGCTTATTTTATTCTTGTAACTCCACTGCGCTCGAATGTTTCCGGCTTGCGTGCGCTTCGCCGGCTGGCTGGAGCCGCAGCAAGGGAGATCTGGCAGTCTACTCTGAACTGCGGAGATGTGCAGACGTTGCCTTAAGCTGATCGCTATTTTTATTACTTTTGCTTATATAATGTAAAGTCTTTAGTGGAATTCAAATAAAGTGTTCTAGTATTTCGTGCAATTATAATCATAGTATTAAAATAATTAAACATAACATTAATTGTAAATATTAATTTTAAGAAATTGTACATTACATTTTATTTACCGACAACTAGATTGAGTATTGTCTACCACTCATCCTTGTAAATATCCTACTTGCTTATATTTTTATTTTCTGTTTTTCAAACTTACAACACTTCACCACACGACGGATCTTCTGACCAAGACAACATAGTATTGGATCCAGGGCATCTCTCTATCAACATCTTTGGGAGGAGGTTGTCATGGAGTCTGTCACCCGATAACCAACTGGCCATCTCCATCAGACAGACGACCATAAAGTCAACACCCCCATTAGATTCCGGACAAATCAACGTAAGACCCATCCAATCTTAACCAAACCTTGTAAGAATCAAGTGTATAATCAAGTAGTGATATTGAACCCAAAAGTTAATCTGTTGTGTCATATATTGTCGGACATTTTAATTTATATTTTGATTGTAAGTTGATAAAAATTGCTACTTTTTTTATTGTTTGTAAAATTTAACCACTCATTAACATTCCATTGTATTAAATTGATTTTAAGAATATTTCGTTTAAATTTTGTCCTCATAATTTAAGATATATCTACACATTCATAACTTTGTACTACACCCCACGACCTTGTGATCTCACTGCACCCTACTGTAGCTTAGCTGGTTGCATCTTTAAAGTGTACTTGGGGTTTTGTACCAATTATCCCCAAGAGTTATTAGTCCATGGTGACAAAATAATAAATAACGTTACAACCTCTTTCTCTCTCTATCTGTCTCCTTTAGCTACCAGTCTAGTATTCTTTTCGAACTTATACGTATACCATGAGTGAGACAACAGACGAATAATCCAACAATTTTCTTATCAATGAATCACAGACATGAGACATGGTGCCAGTATTCGCGAATATGTAGGAATTCTAGATCTATGAATCTAAAATTTAGCTGATGATATTGTGAGAAACAACTACTTTGCGACGTATAACCCCTACCAGCATGGAATTTGCTGATACGTAATTCAAAGCTAAAAGATCTTTTCACTTCTTACTTTTATTAAAGGGAAATAAGATCTCATTCGTGCTTACAGAATTTTATTTGTTGCAAGTTACAATAGTTGGCTGGTTGCTACACTAATTTGTGATATTGAGTATAGTTCAGTAATTATCATATTATTACAATATTAAATGACAAATAATATTATTTGTAATGTACTAAATAAAATGTTTTTAAAATAGTTTTATATAAATTTTCGTTCCTAACGTTATTATTAGTTAAAATGATAAGTAAATTATTATCAATCCAAATTATATAAATTGATTGAATTATAAATTATTACAACCATTGTGAAAAAAATAGCTTCGTGCATAAATTGTTTTTTCCTAGGAAATAATTTTTTCTCTTATTTTGTATAGGTACGTGCAAAAGTGGCTACCATGTTCTACATAAAATAGGTAATTATTTTGAATGACATATTTCCATATTCCATAATTATGGCTTTAGTTCCTTGTTACAGTGCAGAAAAATGCAATCAAGGTATATACTGCTTGGTAGCTCTAAAATTAAAACAACAGTGTATTTTAAATTTGTAAGTAACGACTATTTCTAAATATTGATTCGCAGAGAATGACAATTTGATATTCTCTTACTTTGATATTAAGAATTTTTTGAAATATTGAAGAATTTTCGGGAGTGCAGTTTATTACCAATAGGTGTTGCAAAATATTAACTTTAAACTATTACTTTGAGATTATATATCTAAGTTAATAATAACAACTCCATCGAAATTATGCCACAAGAACATAATGTCAATATATATTTTTAATATACAGGCTGTTACAAATTCACTTCTCACTACAGGGATCTCAAAAACGGTAAGAGATACGAACCAGCTTAAATGGGGGCAAAGTTGCATGATCAGGGGACCAACATTATGCCTCTAAAAAATCAAAGCTAACATGATTAGTTTTCGAAATATCTGAAAAAAAAACAAAATTTTGGAAATCCCATTTTGTGTCATTTCAACCTTGTCTGAGGTGATATTGAAAAAAGAAGCAACTCTTTCTCATGGCAACTTTTTGTCCTCTATCGAATGGCATAATCAATTTTTATATGAAACGTTTTTATTTCCAGGACTTTCATTCACTTCACTTTTTTAAATACGACTCAGAAAATGTTATTACATTTTTGCAAGCATCCATGACCCCCAATACTGTATTGCCTCAGCCCGAACCAGATTCAGACGTTTTGTCCAGAAAAATTAATCTTCATTTTATTCGTTTCAAATTTGCAGAATGCAGAAATATAATGGAGATATAAGATAAAAAGTGTTGGCTCACCTTTGTTATAATCTCGTTGTTGACTTTTATGCTACCAAAAGTTTTTATAGTAAGTGCATGTTGGGTATTTATCATGACTATTTGTAAAAGCTTTCGATTTTTGATGCTCCAGTTGTACCATGGCAGATTATTTAAAGTTAAATGTAACATTTCCCACTGAAAGAGATAATTTTTGTCATATTAAAATAAATTTGAATATTCATTACCAATTTTACATTTACACTTTTTTACATAAATAAAGTTTGCAACTACTGACATTGTTAATATTTTAAAATCACAGTTATATAATATAAAGGGCTGTGTTATCTATACGTATGTTAATCATAACCAATACTACGACCACACTACACGCCACCAGCATTATGTCTGAGTTTATTATGCTCGCTGTGCAGGTTGTTTCACGCCAAACTGTACAAAATTTTTATTAATCTTTTGTGATTCTCCCGAAAAAAACATCTTGCATAGTTTTTTCTATTTCGTATAGTATACTGAAAGTAAATAAACAGGTTTCTTTGTCACATTTTATCCTTATGGCAAGAGATATAGGTACTCATTTGAATTAAAATTCCATCTTGGTAAATTTACCACCCTAGAGCACCACCCACCATCGAATTTATTTGTTCCATTTTGAACCATACGAAAGTTCTTATTTTCCTCAACAACTAATATCGCTCTCTCTTACAGTTCAAAAGGCATAAAACGATGTGTATAAAGACAGTCGGCCTGTTAAATCTGTTACCTACTAATTTTATTAGCGTTGCCGTGGAAAACGAGATAGTCTCAATGTTTATATTCGTTACTCAACATAAATCATTTGTCCTTATCAACTGTACCCAAATATCAATTTTCATTGAATATGGACACAAGCATTGAAGGTGTCCTGTACAGATTTAATCTGCTACAGTATAATTTCTCTAAACATACCGTCATATATATTTTAAAATATATCTACCACATATACAGGATGTTTTTGAATGGAGTGGCATAAATGATACCAGTGAATCAGTAAAATTTGGCATAATTCTTGTTAATTTACACCCAAAAAGTATTTAGCTGATAACAGTGACAACTTACAGAAGAGTTAATTGTGACAACTGGCATGACAGCAGCACACTTAGTTTTTCTTTGATTGATTGCAATCATATACGGTATGAGGTGAATGGTAATTTATTTTTTTATTAATAAACGAAAAGTTTTAAAGGAAAATTGCTAGAGAGGTAAAAGTTTCTAAAAGAACCAGTTTATCTAATGCGTATTTTTGGATATCGAGTTTTTATACGAAATATAAAAGTTATGGCAAAAAATGGCTTGAGGGGTGGTTATTTAATTACAGCCAATTTTCATATTTTTTTTTTTGGAAACTTTGATGGCCCATATCTCTTCAGGGCTGAACATTTTACCGAGGCGATTTTTTGCAGATCGTGTTCTTTTGAAATGTAGATTCACTGGTATCATTTATGCTACTCCATTCAAAAACACCCTGTATATAGGATTTTCAAAAAGTTTAGAACCCCCCCTCTATCTCAGAAAATATTGCTCAGACAAATAAATGATTAGAACGTAAAGTTGCAGGGTTTCGAGTGAGCAATCCAACGGTGACCTTGACCATGACCTTGAAAGTCATTTAGAGGTCAAGTTGAAAATTTTGAAATGGAACCGTATACTTTTGACCCCGGAAATGGAAACAATAGAAATTTTTTCTTTCGGATATGACATTGACTATGATCTTCAGTCATTTAGAGGTCAAGTTGAAAATTTTAAATGGAACCGTCTACTTTTGATCCCGAAAATGATAAAAGCAAGAAAAATAGGGCAATTCATTAAAAATCGATTTGATATGTAAACGACCTTGAAGGTCATGGTTAAGGTCATATCTGATAGTAAAAATTTCCATTTTTTCCATTTCCAGGCTAAAAAATATACGGTTCCATTTAAAATTTCCAACTTGACCTCTAAATGACCGTCAAGGTCAAGGTCAAGGCCACCGTTGGATTGCTCACTCAAAACCCTGCAATTTTTGTCCTAATCATTTTTTTGTTTGAGCAGTATTTTCTGAAATAGAGGGGGGTTCCAAACTTTTTGAAAACCCTGTATATACGTCGGCCATCCGCCATAAAATCTGAATGATTTTTTTTTTATGTAGGATGCACCGGTTTTGTTGTGTATTTTTAATTTCTATTGATACATTATCTAGTAGGTTGCTGTCAATATTTCAAAAAAAAATACAACCATCAAATTTCGAAGGCATCTTTAAAACTCTTCGAAATAATAAAAATAAATAAAAAATAAAAATTTAAACACTGTATCTCAGAAACGAAGCATATTTCGACCTACGTTTATATGAATTACCCTAAAATATTTCGCACTTATTTACAAACACCCTGTATACTTATCGAATATTGTTGGCATGACTCTCTGTGTGGTCTTAGAGTTACATCGAAACATTACAGTACAGTAATAAAATGAACTTACTTCATTTTCATATTGTTGTCCAAAATAACAGTACTCCCACAATAACACGTTTGTGATGAGAAATAGTACGAGTACCTGGACATCGGTTAGGGGTTCAATCCTCTGAAATATGGTTTTCAGATAGTAGATATACATTTAAGCAAAATTTTTAAATTCTCGATAATGCGAGATGAAAACTAAACAAAGTTTTGCGGATTGAAAATTTTAAGCGCTACCAAATGGCGTGCACTGTAAAAAAATCGGTCTGTGAAATTAACAAAGGTACGTAGTGAATCTATTCAGTGAAATTATTAAGTACATTTTCACTCAATATTGCATTTCAAAATACAAAAATATTTATTGTGCAGATAACTGATGATTAGCCTACCCCTCAGTCAATTAACAAGTCTACATATTAAAAGCAATATAATTATAAAGAACTATTAAAACAATGCAAAAAATAATAATATAACATAAATAAATATACATACACAACACCCATACATGCATATATAAATACACATACAAGTACATAGTATCCTCAGAGATACACTCATACACATACGCATATTATATTACACAGGTCAACATTTGATCTAAGAATAATCACCGCACCTGACCAGGGTACTGATAGGTTTTTTGGATCTCTGATTCCGAATCCGAGGTTGGCAAAGCTCCATCACGTCAGGTTCAAGGTCATTTGAAGGTCAAATGGCCAAAATTGGTCTAAAAAATCTGAAAAAATTCATACGTATGTTTTTGGGGTAGCCGAGTTCAAAGCCGCTTCTATTTTTACCATTCAAAGACATCTAAAGGTCGTATCAAGGTCATTTGGAGGTCAAATCGAGAAATATGGTCTAAGAAATCTGAGAAAACTTATACGTATGTTTTTGGAGTAGCTGAGTTAAAATCCGCTGTCAGTTTCACCCCTGAAGGACATCCGAAGGTCATATCAAGGTCATTTGAAGGTCTAATCGAGAAAATCGGTCTAAAAAATCTGAAAAAATTTATACGTATATTTTTGGGCTAGTTGAGTTCAAAGCCGCTGTTATTTTCACCATTTAAGTCCTTCTAAAGGTCGTATCAAGGTCATGTCGAGGTCATTTGTAGGTCAAATCGAGAAAATCGGTCTAAAAAATCTGAAAAAATGTATACGTATGTATACGACTCCTGACCGAATGAGGCGAAAATATAAAGGAGGCTAGCCAGTTAAGGCAAGAACATAAGCGCGTCCAGACAATTAAGTCAAGATGACTGAATGTCCCGGCCAGTTAAGGCAAGAACAGTAACGTGTCCAGCCATTAAGGTGAGACTTTCACCCCATTTACACCTTACTGGTTTTAAAATTGTTTTCAATAAATGAATCTCCTTGTTTAGCATACAAATTAATCGCCAGCTTTGAATCGTTTACGTTTAGTTTCAAACGATATTCTAATTGATTTTCTTTTATGTTCTACGTTTGTATATCTTTTTAAACACCAGCAATAGTCGGCCAGCATATTCTTTTCCCAAACACCCTGATATCTTTTCTCAAAGTCACTCAGGTTGATGCATTCTTTCACCTTGTTCGTCACTGAATGCCCCTAGATTTTCTGGAAAGAAGTCAAGATGAGAATCAAGAAAGTGGAGTTTAAGGTTCATTAAACATCTTAATTTTTGGAAATTGTTTATCATTGTTGCAACAATATTTTTGTAGTCGGAGTCTTTATTATTGCCTAAAAACTTGTTCGTGACTAAATTTATTCAGATTTTTTATACCGATTTTCTCGATTAGACCTTGATATGTCCTTCAGATGTCCTTCAGAGGTGAAACTGACAGCGGATTTCAACTCAGCTACTCCAAAAATATACGTGTTTTCTCGGATTTTTTAGACCATATTTCTCGATTTGACCTCCAAATGACCTTGATACGACCTTTAGATGTCTTTGAATGGTAAAAATAGCATACGGCTTTGAACTCGGCTACCCCAAAAACATACGTATGAATTTTTTCAGATTTTTTAGACCATTTGACCATCAAATGACCTTGAACCTGACGTGATGGAGCTTAGCCAACCTCGGATTCAGAATCAGCGATCCAAAAAACCTATAAGTACCCTGGTTAGGTCCGGTGATTATTCTTAGATCAAATGTTGACCTGTGTTATTAATACAACTAGAAAACTATAAAACAGCAGTATTTGTGGAGTTATCGTTTTCCATGACCTACTCAGAGGTACGTTACGGAGTGTTAAGTCCTGACGCACCAGTACATTATTTAATACCGTAGCCGCTAAAAAAGTAAATGAGCGTCTTTTATCGAGTATTAATTTACCAAACTGTCTAATAAAAGGAGTAACATGGTGAAGAAAGGGTATACAGGGGTATAATCTATAAAAATTAAACTACAGCTTCTTAGCGATATTTGTAATATAAAAGTCTTATACGAAAAAGTTCTATTTTGCGTTTAAGTTTCTTCAGCTATCTATCTGATCTTCAAGGGTATTATTCACATATTCAGTTACAAATATACTAACCCTTATAATAAATATAACGCTGATAGTTATAACTCCTATTGCTGCACCTTGGCCCAATAACAAGCCCCAATACACAGTATGGTTGAATACAGCGTGACACCTACAATGTTCATGGTGTATTATTACTTAGAAAGTAAATTGTATAACTATTATATAGAGCGCAAACAATGAGCGAGTAACTCCGGAGGATCTCTACTATAAGAAAATATATAAAAATAAATCATACAAAGTACAGAAGATTTAAAAGCTTAATAGATAAACACGGTCCACAATTTTAAAATTTTTAGTGCTGAAATTCCAATGACCATAGTTTATCAATAAGCAGTTAACGATAGTAAATACAAATTGTTATGTAAATATAAAATTAAAAAGTTAGATACATTCGTCCATATATGTATAATTGAGCTACTTTTTAGACTAAGCATATATGCAAATAACTGATTTAGATTGATTATTTGAACTCTTTGGAAAAGCTCTTTTTCTTACCTCTTCATGTCCTGATGATGTTGGACGCATTTTATCAATTTGTCGTAAATTTCATTTTGGTAAGCATCGTCATAAAACATATCCCTTTCCGTCATTAATTCCCGAACATTTTCCCTTAATATGTATAACTGAAATTTTATATGAAAGATGTAATACAGCCAGTAATAGTGTATTGAAGTAACCGTGACACAAGAGTAAGATAAACAAAAAAGATAAATCATTTGAAGCAGCAGTACTCTCTCATATCGTTGATTTATATACATTATAACAAAATGGATCTTTTTATATGTGCCAAACCCTGTCAAAGATGCTACAACGGCAACTAGAGGAATAATCATAAACATTTTAATATATTTGATCTCTTTCTTTATCCTCGGGATAGTTTTTTCGCTTGCTTCACCAATTGGCTTCAGAGAATGCTTCATGGTTTCAATAAGCTCATCACCGAAGTATATGATGGAGTATGTGTAAGCCAACATCGCCTAGAAAGAAAAATAATAAATAATACCATAGACAATATAGCTTATCGCTTCAGACCGCGTGTTAAATGCTGGAAATTGGCAACCTAAAAAGGATGTCCTGTTAACTGACATTCAGCAATAAAATTAGCGTGGTAACTCTTCTACTCGGTAATAGGAGACTGTTCTAACTGTGGCTTTGTTGCCAAATAATAACTACCAAATAAATGTAATGTATTTAAATATGTAATTGAACAGTTACATGGAAATTATATTTTGCTTGGAAATGACTTTTGTGTTAAATGATAAATTTTAATTTTTTTATTGATTTTTTACTTGAAATATATATTTTATGGCTACAAATACTGCTTATGTCAAAAGAAATAAAGGAAAAGTCGTACATTTGTATTTAAAGTTTTTTCTATCCTTAATTATTACACCTATAAGTGGGTGTCAAAATACAAACAAACACCCTGCACCTACATTTCGCGACGTACTAATAACCCTTGTATATTAAATAAAATAATCATCATCAAATATTAAAAAAAAATTATGGTACAAGCTGTTTAAAATATTACGAATTTTGTTTATTTGGAAATATATTTTCGGCAGTATTTCAATACCAAAAAAATTAAAATAGTAGCTACTTGCCGAAATTATTAAATAACCCAACTGTGACACCGCTGCAGAATATCAGATTGTCTAAGTTGACTACATAGGTATTCGTTCATTCTTTAAAACATTTTTATCAATGCATACATCATACATTTAAGTAAATACAGTAACGCAAAAAATAGGCATTGATAAAAAAGTGTACAAAATAAATCCGTAAGTACGCGTGACAACATTGTCAAACTGTTACATGTTACTAGGATATGCGTAGGAATGCCGGCCGGTGCATTTGATTCTTCTTAAAATTTTGCTGGTGGTGCGCTCTGTTCGGTCTAGAGCGAAGCTATATTGTCTGTGATAATATATACTCAATATATTTGAAAGGACGCCGGGCATATCTCAAGGGCGCTGAAGAAAATTTGACCGACTCAAGCTCAAGTAGATACATCTTTATACCCCGAGTGCGCTGCTTGCGCTCACGATATGAAAATAGTACTTTTTATTACTACTGCGAGAAGGGCAGGGTGGAGATTGCGATAATGGACACTTTTGCAGGGTATCCCTGTCATTTCGAGTAACTTTGTTGATAACATTGTTTTGTGACCTCTTATGTACACAAATTTCATATTTCATAAGTTTTGGACTTGAAATCGACCATTTCATAAACTCTAGAAATGACAAGGTACTACTAATTACAAAGATATAAGACAACATAATTCGTTGGAGGACTAGAGAAGTCGTTTCATTTATTTGGTAGGTACGTCTCAGTCTCAATGAATTTTTAAATTGTATCGAGGCAAAAACTTATTGCATGTATGGGGTACTGCGTACATCCTTTCTTATTTCAACACTCGGCGCATACAAATCACACAGTAACTTACATTAACAGTAACAATTTGAACGGGCAGGAACTTTATAACTTCTTCCATAGGTGGCCGACTGATTACATATTTTACGAACAAAATATTCTCCAACCCAGTTAGTATCAGTATTATAAAGCCAATCGTCTTATGTATAGCTGTTCGGAATAAAAGTGAAAACAGGTTGCCGACTGGATGCAGAATGTCTCTTAGAAAATATGGAAATTATATTTACCATGATAATAAATAATACGTGATTTTTCTCCTTCTCTCTTCGTTTTCCCTTTTCTCTGCCATTTGTGAAACTGTCCACACATTTTCATCCACACTTTTAAACATGCCTAACAAGTAGCTAGATTGTCAGTATATTTTTGACGGCATTAGGATTTCCTCCTAAGGGGTCCACGAAGTATTTGGGAACATTGAATAACTGGTAACAACTGATTAAGAAAATGCACTTTATATGTCTGAGTGTAACTTATTGTTTACCTATCTTTCCAAAATTTACGTTTGGTGTGCAATTTATAATTAATATTTCAAACCCATTTAAATTGGGACTTTTATTTGGGTTGGTAAGTAAGTAACTGGGGGACCGCAACAACAAAGAAATATCGAAAGGAGGTCCGCGGTAAACAAAAGATTACCCGCTGATCTACATAATATGTGCTACTTATATGCAATCTATATGCATCAAAATGTGTGGATGAAAATATGTTTATAGTTTCACACAAATTCCTCTATCTCTTTCCACCATTTCTCTCTACACCCTTTCCAACAAACAGAATTTTCCTTTTAATTAATAAAACAAGAAGTCGAATCTCATTTGCTAAAAAAATATTGTTCCCATTTTATTTCTACTGTAGGTAATTAAAATGCTTGCTCAAACCGTTGAATGTGAATAATAATTTGCTCTATTCATGTCTAACGTGAGTGCTATTTATAGTGGCCAGAGTTATGTATCCTATCGCCATAGAGCATAAATACATATTTGTAAAACCTATATAATGCCTTATAATAAAAGTTACGTTTTTTTTAACTTTCACACCTCGTATCTCGCAAGGAACATTTTCGGAGACATGCCCTAGGAGCTTTTTCTGCTCATGGCACATAGGAAAATATCTTTGTTCTTTTTATCTCTTATCGGTTCCAGGATTTCTGATATGTTTTTGTAAATACAATGCCCAGATTTTTAGGTGTTTTCGTTCTTGGTACTGCTACATGATGGCATATTTTATTCAAAAGTCGTGTCCTTTATAAAAAAATTTCAAGCGCAGCAATTTTTTGATTTATAAATTACAAATTAATTATTTATTGAATACAAAACACACATCTTTCACACAAACACACACACACACACACATTTCTATTTTTCAAGAGTTGTGTCGATTTATTTCTTTTTAAATCAAGTTGTTTTATAAATTAGATATTCTTAAGGTATATTTACCGTCGAATGTAATACATTCTCCAAAAAATAACTGGACAATTTTTTCTAATGTAGACATTTTTTGTCTTGTTCTTTCTTGAAACACTTCACAGCAACTACATAATTGAATACGGTTTTTTTTCCTAAGTAAATTTGAAGAATGAATTAATTATAAGTAATTCCTATAATGACAAACGTTCTTATTAAGTGAAAATAATTATTGAATAGTGACTTCATGAATTGTTAATTATTTATATCTGCTAATAATGGCAACTAATAAGAATTTCAGGGGAAAACGTTAATGATCTAAAAAAATATCTGTATCATCATTTAAATTTTCTTTATATCAATCTGTGAGAGATTATTAATAAATTTTTAATTTATAAACCTTTATTTTTTGGTGAAACATTTGCAGAACCTCTGGAATTTAGGAATCGTGGGGAGGGTAGCTTTTAAAGCTACAGCACTTAGGCCCCATTGGGTCCCTTGTACTTCCTCCCATGAGGAGATCAATCCACCTGTGCCGCCAACCAGCCTATTACAGTGAAAAAGGTGGTGACGTTGCTCAGGGGGGTCTCTCTAATATAGGCCATTGAAGGCCAGCGCTCTCCCAACATGGACTCTCTTGATTTACGAGAAGACAGTGCATTCGCATAGCATATGTAATCCTGTCTCGTCTTCCTGTTCACAGCCCCTACAAAGAGGTGTTTTACACTTCCTCATGTCGTAAAGGTGCTTCCTTAGCCAGCAGTGTCCAGTTTGAATACCTGTCACCAGGCGAAGATTTGACCTAGACATGGCCAGGAATTTTTTGGCTGTATCCTTGCTAGGACATTCTAAGAACGCCCTAGCGAAATGATAGTTATTTGTTTCATCCCACCGTTTCATAAATTCTTTGTGGGTGTTTTCCTTAATAATTTCAGCGAGTGCTGACAACGGAAGCGCACTGGAGGCACCAGGTCCAAAAATATTGAAGCCGATTCACTCCTGGCTAGCTTGTCATCCTTGGCCTCGTGGTGGAACAGGCGCCACCTGTTCACATTCACCCTGGGGTTCTGACCTGCCAGGCGACGTATCACCACCTCCTTCTCCCCATGGTAGCTTTCGGCTTCCACGGGAATCCAAAGACTGGCTTTCGTCAGCCTTGTCAACTCAGAGCGCACCACGGCGAGGGCACTGCCCTCCCACGGACTCAGACTTCCCACTGCGTCCGTCAACCACGTCCGTGATCATCAGGGTTGTCTTCGCAGACAACCCTGATGATCTCACCAGAGTACGTCCACTTGCAAAACCTCTTAAACTTGCCTATTGGATTATAACTTTAAAATTGTAAAAGAAAATATTGTAATATTGCATTTAAAATAAGTAAAACGACTACGAGCAAATGAAAGACTGTGGCAAATTTAGTAAACGATAGAATAATTACAGTCTACTCAAATTAAACAACCTACTTGTTTGACAGACATTTTAAATAAGTAATAAGTAAGACGAATACGTTTCGGGGATAGGAGAAAAAACTGTCTTGGTCTGTGCTATTAATTCATCTACATTTGGGTAACACCGCCGAATTGTTTCTGTTACAAGATGTAATGCGTGCAGAAACAGTTGTTTGTTAGTACTTAATTTTGACATGCCAATGTATTGTTATGTTATGAATAAATTAGAGGGTTAAATGTTAAGTTATGAAAACTGATACTAAGAAAAGTATCACATAAATAAAATTTGAAATATAAGATATATTGAAAAATAGTAAACAGCAGTATAGTTACTAGCATACAAAAGTTAAATAAGAGATGTATTTCAGTAATTTAGATATCAAAATTTGTAATTGTTCGAAATTTTCTAACGAAACGACACACTCACTCGACACGATGTTATATTTCTCCCGAAAATATGCTATGTACAACGAGACTGTCTATGAAAGTGGAACTAGGAACACCTTTTGCTATGTATGGGGTGAAACTGACAGCAATCGAGGATCGAACGAAGTAGGCACAATCATTAATAAATATTTAGAAATGATTGATCAGAGAGGAAATGTTCAGACATTTGCGCTCTATTGCGACAGTTGTTCTGGTCAGAACAGAAACAAGGCTATTTTGGCTATGATATATACATTTTTAAAATCATCGAAAAATATACAAGACATAAAAATCGTATTTCTTCTTCCAGGGCATACTTACATGCCCGTGGATGCAGTCCATGCTACGATAGAAAGATTCATTTCTAAACGTATTGTTTGGGCGCCATCAGAATGGGCTACATTAATTTCCAATGCTAGAGTTCACCCAAGACCTTTTGAAGTTGTCTCCATGAAGTATTCTGACTTTGTAGATTGGAAAACAACAGCAGAGAATTTACTAAGTAGTAATAAAACAAATGATGGACAGAAATTCAAAATAAGTCAACTGAGAATAGCATATTTTAAGAAAGGGGAGGACAGGATAAACAAAATACTCATACTCCGATTCTGGGGAAAAAATGGTTTTACCAGTATCTCTTGTATCACAGTCTAAAGGTTGTAAACTCTATCATTATTTTATTCTATTAAATTAATCTACTTTTTGTTATAAGGTCGTAGATAAAAAAAATCACCAAAAACAGTAGATGTCCTTTATTCGTCTCCGTTGCCAATTTCTGGATTAAAATTAAAAAATCTTATAGAGTTGTATGAAAAACGAGTAATACCGCAAAGGTATTGGAACGAATACAAATCCTTTGTGGCGAGGGTTGATGTTCCAGATACTTTGGCTGAGACTGATAATGAAGACGAAATTCGTGAAGAGAACTAACTAATAATTTAAACTTGTATTAGTACTGCCATATACTGTACGTTTTAATGTTACTGTCATTGTAATGTTTTAGTTCAAATGTATTAGTATACTTAAATGTTTTTGTTCAAATATTTTAGTTCAAATGTTTTGTCTCATTCTGTACTTTTAACGTGTTTAATAAATGATAAGAAAAAGCCTTTACGTTATTTATAACTATTTTAATTATAATGTCATTGCAATGCAAAATGTTTTAGTTCCATTTTGCACTTTTAACGCCTAATAAATAATAATATTAATAGCTTTTACGTTACATAATACAAATATTTCCCACATATAATGAAAATTGTCAATATTTCGTTTTCTTAAATTTAATATTAAAATTCAATTACTATTTGCAAAACAAAAGTATTACAAACATTTTTAATACTCATAGTCTGAGAAAAACATCAGTTATAAAAAAAAGTTGCTTCCTGTAAAATTTACTGTGTGTCGCTTACGATGATTTGTCAAAAACCCATCGATATTATCACTGACAGTTATGGTTCCGTCAGAATCTTGAAAATTTCTTTGTGTAAAAATGTTTCTGGACTACAAAATCATATGTATAGTGTGTAAGAGACCCTTGTCATTCCATTTTATATGTGTAATATATGTATATAGAAAATTGTATTTTTGAGAATTCTTACTTATTATGCACCTAATGTCAAATAAATAATTTACAGAAAAGCAAATAACCCCCCTCCCCCTGCTACCGCGATTAGATTACAAAGAATTTTGCGAATATCAGTCATCTCCGGAATGTTGGCGACATTGGCCGACTTTTCAGGACAATATTGGCGATTTTATAACATCAAATACTGGCAACACTGACTGAGAGTGAGAAAGGCAGTGCTAATTCAACTGCAACCTAAAGCAGTGCGAAATTACATTATATATTTTCAGTGCTTAGTATTCTCTTTCAATATATTATTATTTTTAATA